TGCAGTCCCCAACGTGTGTCCCTGCAAAAATCCTTGAAGATTCTTGGGAGGTAAAAACGAGGGGCCTTCCAGCAAAGGAACCAATTTGAAATTCTGAATATATCCCACAAAGTCAGACATACATCTGCACTCTTAGAGTTCATTTTATCTAAGTGGTGCTTTGGTGTTTGCTGAGACTGAGAGGAGTAGAGTTGCAATGCTCACCCATGCTCATCCCACGGTCTTGTGGGCACCCACTTTTCTGACTGCCTACCTGGCCCTTTTCTAATAGTGCCTCCTGATTTCCCTTTGCAGAACCATCCTCCTACCTTCTCAGTCCACTGTTTGCAGTGCGGCTGATCCCATTCGCTGGGTCCTGAGCTGAGCGTACGACTCAGGAGACCAGTGTATTTTTGCCTCCTAATATTTATTTATTTACTTATTTGGTTATTTATTATTATTATTATTATTTGGTTGCAAAGTCTCACTCTGTTACCCAGGCTGGAGTGCAGTGGCACAATTTCTGCTCTGCAACCTCTGCCTCCCAGGTTCAAGCGATTCTCCTGCCTCAGCCTCCCTGTTGCTGAGATTACAGGCACATGCCACCCTGCCTGGCTAATTTTTGTATTTTTGGTAGAGACAGGGTTTCGCCATGTTGGCCAGGCTGGTCTCGAACTCCTGAGCTCAAGCGATCTGCCTGTCTTGGCCTTCCAAATTTCTGGGATTACAGGCCTGAGCCACTGCGCCCAGCCATATTTATTTATTTATTAGAGAGGGGGTCTTGTTCTGTCATCTAGGCTGGAGTGTGTAGTGATACGATCATAGCTCACTGCAGCCTCAAATGGCCTAAGATTTCAAAGCCCAGTGAAATCACAGCTCACGAGGGGTACTTGAGGGAAACTAGGGGAGGAAGGTTTAAGACACAGTCTCCAGCAGAATTGGCTGTCATGAACCCGTGGAGTAAGAATTGGGGTTAGGTCGTGAGAAGAACAGGTGCCTTTTCATATCATCCCTCCCTCTGTCAGTCACCCTAGGCAAGAAGCTATCCAGAGAGACGCCGAGGCCAGGGACTGAGTGTGCTCGCACACCTTGCCCTGAACCTGCACTTGTGTCCCTATTTCTGCCTGTGCTGCCATAACAGATACCACAACAGGGTGGCTTAAACAACACCGAATTCTCAGACTCAAGTGATCCTTGTGCTTCAGCCTCCCGAGTAGCTGGGACTATAGGTGCGCACCATCATGTCCAACTAATTTATTTTATTTGTAGAGATTATGTCTCATGTTGTTGGCTGGGCTGGTCTTGAACTCCTGGCTTCCCACAATCCTCCTACCTTGGCCTCCCAAAGTGCTGGGGTTACAGGTATGAGCCACCACACCCAGCAGCCTGGTGCTATTTAAAAAGAGTTTTTTGGGTTTTTTGTTTGTTTGTTTGTTTTCTTGAGAGGTTGCTCAGCTGATAGAAAGTAAACCTGGATCTACTAGTGACCATCTTGTCCCCAGCAGGAGTAATCTTGTCTGGGAATAAAGCCCACAAATGAGAAAGAATAACTGAAAGATGGAAAGACATTTCTGATAACCTTTTTTGAGTAACTGGATCAAGCCATGCCTGAAATCCTTCCTTAATTTTTCAAATAAGTGAGCAGTTTCTTTTTTTTTTTTTTTTTTTACTCAAGTCAGTCTTAATTGGATTTCTATAGCTAGCAGTTAAAAGAGTTTGAGTACACTGTCATTTGGTAAACTATGTTTTTTCATTCATTCAATGAAATTTGTTGAGTCCTTGCTATGTGCTAGGCACTGTGTGGGAAACTGAGAATATAAAGCCCAAAAACTGTTCTCTCAAGGTGTTTACCCCAGTGAAAGAGAACCTTGAACGGTACAGCCAAGTACAGTGGCTCATGCCTATAATCCCAGCACTTTGGGAGGCCGAGGCGGGCGGATCACCCTGAGGTCAGGAGTTCAAGACCAGCCTGGCCAACATGGCAAAACCCCATTTTTACTATAAATACAAAAATTAGTCGGGTATGGTGGTGCATGCCTATAATCTCAGCTACTTAGGAGACTGAGACAAGACAATTGCTGGAACCCAGGAGGCAGAGCTTGCAGTGAGCTGAGACTGTACCACTGAACTCCAGCCCGGGCAACAGATCAACACTCCATCTCAAAAAAGAAAAAAGAAACTCATGGTAGACTGAAGGAGGAAAATATCCAACTGGCATCTCTGTGGCGGCCCCCATAAACGGGTTACCAGGGTATTTGCCTCACTCGGTGCCCTCTTAGTGAGCCTTCCCCCCAAGCATGTGTTCTTGTTCTGGCATTGGGACTTCCTGATATCCAGGAAGGACCATCCTGAGGTCCAGCCAGGGCCTTACTGTTGGGAAGTTGCTCACAAATTCTTCTGGGAACTTCTTGTCCCACATGTTCCAGCAAACCAATATCCTTTTCTCTTCTGATCTCTTTTCCTCCTCCATGGCCGCCCCTGAACAGGATCGGCACGTGAAAGAGGGAGGTAGGCACTTTTCTCAGTAAGTCTGGGCTGATGAATAGACCTCTCCCCTCTCTTTCCTTTTAAGGCTAGGGTCAGGGTGGGCCAACGGTATTGACGGCATTCCTGGTTCTGGGATGACAGGGTTACTGGGACATGAAGTCCCAGAGGCCTCCAGTGGAATCTGGGACAGCTGATTGTCTAAAATTATCTTGTAATTAATAAATTATTCACCGTTCCTCAGGACCTCAGGATGGTCCCTGCCTCCTGGACATCAGGAAGCCCAAAGACCAGAACAAGAACACATGCTCACTAAGCGGGGTAGACACACCCACATTCTAACACTGCTTAAGACTGTTAAGCCTCTTGTTCAGGGAGAACTCTTGTTCTCCACGTTTCTCAAAGCTCTTTCTTTCATGACAAAATGTACCTATTAATAAATCCTTTAAGAAAATCCTGTGCCAACTTCAAAATAGACACAAAGCTCTATAAAGCGCCTTATTCAGTCCCCCACGTCGAATCTCTCTCTCTCTCTCTCTGCTGTGTTCTCATAGCAGCCTGTATGTTCAGTACAGCGCTTCTCAGTTCAGCCTTATTTGTCTTTTCCTTTGGGGATAAATCCTGGAGGATAGGATCCAGGTCTTTTGTATCTTTGTTTCTTCTGCTTGGCCTAAGCCAGGGCCTGGCACATGGCCTAGGCTAGGTCCTGCCCAACTCCTGTGTTTGCCCCCTCCTCCCACTTCTTCCCCACTGCTACAGCCTCTTCGTCCTCACATGCAGGACTGGCCTGGCTTTGGGCTCTGATGCCCAGCCCATTGGAAGCAGAAGGAATTTCGTTAGGACAAAAGTTCAATGAGGACTGGGCCCTGGGTTGTCTTGTTCTGAGTTGTAACCTCATGGCTAGCAGAGGGCGTGCCACCTAGTAATCTTCCAATAAGCATTAGTTGAAGGAAGGAAGGAAGGAAGGAAGGAAGGAAGGAAGGAAGGAAGGAATACCTAGCAATCTTCCAACACATTGAAGGAAGGAAGGAAGGAAGAAGGGAGGGAGGGAGGGAGGGAGGGAGGGGGAGGGGGAGGGAGGGAGGGAGGGAGGGAGGGATGGATGGATGGATGGATAAATGCATGAATACAGTCAGAATTGCTGTGAATCAATGTCTTGCCCTCTGTTCAAGTTTACGTGGCAGAGCTTACTTCTATCCTCCTGGCATTCCAGCCATGGGGTTGTGGCTTCTGCCTCCTGTCTACCTGATCCCTGACATTTTTAGCTTTGATTCCTTTGGATTTCTAATTGCCCTGTGGCCTCGTCTTACACCCTAATTGCTGCTTGTCTGCCTAGCCTCTTCCCTGCTGTCACCATACTCTTTGGACACATGTTGAGATCCTCAGACTGACCCTTCCATCTGTTGCTCCCTGGCCCTTAGTGTAGTGGCCCTGCCAGTAGCTCCGGGCCCTCGCACTCAGAGGTCTCATGCCCAGTATCCCACCACACCCATGGAACTCAGCAAATGGAGACGGACTGAATTGTATTGTTTGGTTTCTCTCTTCAGTCATTGGGGGAATGCGATTACTTTCGCCAAACTGAAATGTGGTACGCTCTGCCATCTCATTCCAATCACACCACAAAGGAGGACCCTGCATCTGTCATATGCCAGACACTGTAGGGCTTTCCCCCCAAAACTGGACATTGGTGTTGCTCTTTAAATTACCCATGCATCCCTACCTTATTTAGATTTTTTAGAAGTTCTATATATGGTTTTGTTTTGGAGCCCTGCAATTGACAAGATCAGTTCATAAATTTCTTCTGGCATAAGAGTAGCTAAATCAAAATAATTGTGATTAATCAGTGGGTGATTAGTCTTTTTGTTGTCCATTACCACAGTTACTTAGGTACATTAGGTAGGAGGCCCTGAAAAGGATGAATGGACCTACAAACAGATTGATACAGTGGGGATGGAAGGCATGTTTATCTACTTAGAAATTAAAGCTTACCATTAATTAAATGCTTCATTGGTATTCATGCTATGTTGTGTAATAGGTAGTGCTTGGATAGCTGAATCCAACAAAGAAGTGTTTGTCTCCTGAATTCCAGGAAGTCAGATATTGAGGGGGAGGAAAGCATGTGCATGTTCAGGTGTTTGTGGGCACTTGATACTAGTAATTGGATGTTTGGAGAATGTGCTCTCTCAACTCCAAATCCCTGCCCGTAGATAGGATGCGGTAGGTCTCCTCTCTGGCATCCGCTCTGGCATTGCTCTGGCTGTGTTGTTGACATGCTGGCCTCACTGTCAGCCGACATCACTGGGAGTTTTACACCTCAGATGAACAGAGCTCAAAGGTTTGGCTGCTGTCTCTGGATAAGGTGCTGAGAAAAGAGCTTTCCCAGTGCCTGGGCTGCAAGTATTGCCTGAGGCTCAAGAAACAGTTACTAGAACAGTGAGAAAGAAATGTTTACAACTTGTTTTTTTTCTGGGGTTCCTTTTCCATAAACTGTGTATTTCAAATGAAAGGTTGTGATAAAGCTGCCTGTTTTCTTTCAGGTGAGTTCCAACAAATTGGTTCACAAAGGTGGGGGATAAACACGCTGGCCCACGCTGGGCAAGCATGGCACCACCTCGCAGGCACTGTCTCCTTCTGATCAGCGCTCTGGGGGTCTTTGCACTTAACTGCTTCACCAAAGGTCAGGAGAACAGCACGCTCATCTTCACAAAGGAAAACACCATTCGGAACTGCAGCTGTTCTGCGGACATCCGGGATTGTGACTACAGTTTGGCCAACCTGATGTGCAGCTGTAAAACCGTCCTGCCCCTTGCGGTGGGGCGAACCAGCTACAATGGCCATCTGACCATCTGGTTCACCGACACATCTGCGCTGGGCCGCCTGCTGAACTTCACGCTGGTCCAAGACCTGAAGCTTTCCCTGTGCAGCGCCAACACTCTCCCCACTGAATACCTGGCTATCTGTGGTCTGCAGAGGCTGCGCATCAACATGGAGGCCAAGCATCCCTTCCCAGAGCAGAGCCTACTCATCCATAGTGCTGGGGACAGTGACTCCAGAGAGAAGCCCATGTGGTTACACAAAGGCTGGCAGCCATGTATGTATATCTCATTCTTAGATATGGCTCTTTTCAACAGGGACTCATCCTTAAAATCATATAGTATTGAAAACGTTACCAGCATTGCCAACAACTTTCCTGACTTTTCTTATTTTAAAACCTTCCCAATGCCAAGCCACAAAAGCTATGTTGTCACATTTATTTACTAACATAATAACTGCGTCCAGCTGCCTGGAACTTTGGCAAATGATGGATAATTTGCAGAAGGAATCTGGAAATAAGGCCATGAGATGGGTATCCCTAACCACAACTGTGCCTCTCTCTGCAGGCTCCATTTGCAACACAGCCACACACACCAATAACCAGCTCTCTGTTCTGCTCTCTGCCCAACTGCCAGCGCACTTTTGAAAAACAAAAGAAAAAGAAACCCGAAAACCAACTTGATTCCGTCCAGGGACATGTCTTGGGAGGCGGCTAGGCTTGGTCTCTGCAACTAGGAGCCTGTAGGGAAACATCCCGTCAGAAATGGAGAAAACAACATACCCTGGAGACTGGTTAGTGGAGCTCCTCCTAGGAGGTGACCCCCAAGAAACATACCTTCTTTCAAAACACTGCCTTAATGTTTTTCTGATTCATTTTGTGAAATTGCTTGGAATTCCTCTAAGTAGAGAATAATTGATTTCAGAGGTCTTAGGACTGTGAGTTTTATAAAATGGCCAGGTGCAGTGGCTCACGCCTGTAATCCCAGCACTTTGGGAGGCCGAGGCAGGCGGATCACCTGAGGTCGGGAGTTTGAGACCAGCCTGACCAACATGGAGAAACCCTGTCTCTACTAAAAATACAAAATAAGCCAGGCGTGGTGGCACATGCCTGTAATTCCAGCTACTCCAGAGGCTGAGGCAGGAGAATCACTTGAACCTGGGAGGCGGAGGTTGCAGTGAGCCAAGATCGCGCCATTGCACACCAGCCTGGGCAACAAGAGCGAAACTCTATCTTAAAAAAAAAAAAAATCCACTGCAATTGTGATACAAATGTCTAAACCTGGAGTGGAATGAATTTGAAACATTATTGCATTCATGATGCCATAATGATAAGAAATAGTCCATGACTTAACAAGATGTCCTGGGGCTGATGACTTTAGATCACATACATCACTTTTTTTTTTTTCCTCTTAACCTTAACATAGAGCAACTGAAATAACCTGCAATTTCTACATTTGCTTAATTGGTGGGGGACTTAGCCATTCAGGCTAATTAGCATGAGTCCATGTCAGTGTTTAAATTAGGCCAAAACAAAGACCAAAGTATTAATTTTAATAGAAAAATGTGACCTCATTACTGACATTGTACTTCAGATAATGTTAAAGTGATAGAAAAAGATAAGGAAAGGGGGAAAAAGGAGGAGAAAGGAAAGCAAGAAAAGATAAGTGAAAAGATTAGTAAGATATTCACTGTCATTAGTTACTGAAAATATAATAAATTGAATTTTAATATCTTTTATTAATAAAGTATAAAATTAAATGATGTTAGAAAGTAATATGCCTCCTATAAATATCTTCCATTTTGTAGCTTTTAATAGTTTCAAAACCCTTTCACATACGTTTTAAGTGAGCCTTTTGAGAAATACTTGTGAGTTAATGGGACTTAAATCAATAGAAAAGGAAAACTAATTTAGTTATAAATCAAGCCTGAGGTTTTAGATTTCTGGACTAAAAATATGGTTCAGTTTGTGCTGCTGTGGGGTGAAGAATGGGAGAGAAAATCCACAGCACAGGCATGGGGATAAATGGCATTTGGCATTTAGCTGCAGGGTTTGGGGGACAACAGGGAGTGGTGGGATGGTGGTTAAGTAAGGTGCACGCCCCACCTGAAGCTCTACAGTGGCTCAGCTCCCACTGAGGGCTGCCATGGGAAAATCTGATGAGGCCAGATCTGATCCTTCAAGAGAATGAGGTATTCCAGGTTGTTATGCGAATTCTCACAACTTGTAAATGTGGCATGCCATTCAGCATTTTTGTCTGTTTGTTTTAATTAATATTATGTGGGTCAAACAAACTATGTCAATGGTACCTATCTGGTCTGGGGCTAGTAGCTTGTTGCCTTCAGCCAGTGGTGTGCTAATAAAACTTCAACCACCAGCTCTCCAACAGAAAAGGGAGGTGGGCTGCTCTGCCTGTGAAATAGCCATGCTTTCATTCCTTTACTTTCTTAATAAACTTGCTTTCACTTTACTCTATGGACTCGCCTTGAATTCTTTCTTATGTGAGATCCAAGAACCCTCTCCTAGGGTCTGGTTTAGGACCCCTTTCTGGTAACATCTTTATGGCAACCACGAAGGGATGATACTAAGGAGACCCCTGACCCAAAGGAAATAGACCAACACTGACTGGCTGACTTTGGAGTCAAGGAAACTTTTCTTTTGAGCTATTGACAGCTTTCAACAATTGAGTAAATTATGCTCCTGTGAACAAAATTTGAAGCATGTTTGTTTCTCTCTACCTAATTTCTCCAAAATCTAGAAACTAGTTATATTGCCTTTAGTCAGAGTTATGAATGGCCCTCACCATACTGAGACTTTCTCTGACTGAACTCCTCTCTACCCTGGATCTGAGACCCTAATAGTTAGGCAGGAATATCATCGCCCCATTCAGCCTCCAGAAGTTACAAAAGATGGACCTTCATCTCTCTACAACCCTTAGGATTAAGGGTTCTCTTATAAAAGGGATGGGGGAAATGTCAGAGGCGTTTAAACCAGAGCGACTCCATCTTGTATAGGGGCTGGGTAAAATAAGGCTGAGGCCTGCTGGCCTGCATTCCCAGCAGGTTAGGCATTCTTACTTACAGGATAAGATAGGAGGTCGGCACAAAATGCAGGTCATAAAGACCTTGCTGACAAAACAGGTTGCAGTAAAGAACAAAACCCACCAAAAGCAAGATGGAGATGAGAGTGACCTCTGGTCACCCTCACTGCTACACTCCAAACAGTGCCATGACAGTTTACAAACGCCATGGCAACATCAGGAAGTTACCCTATATGGTCTAAAACAGGAGGAGCCCTCAGCTCTGGGAATTGCCCACCCCCACTCCTTTCCGAAAAACTCATGAATAATCCATCCCTTGTTTAGTATATAACTAAGAAATCACCATAAAAATGGGCAACCATTTGACAAATATTATACCCAAGACAAATATCATAATGTTAAATTAGATAGTATTAAAGTGGAAAACAGAGAGACTAACAATCTAATAGAAAAACAATGAAATAAGCATGCAATTAACTTTAAGATGAAAACAAGTAGCCAATAACTGAACAAAAAAAAATTACCTCTACCAAGAGAAATGCAATAGGAAACTAATATTTCATCCACTAGATTGGCAAAAAGTAAAGTTATTTGATATTCCACTTTGTCGTGCCTGTAGGCAAATAGATAGTCTCTATTTAAGAGAATAAACTGGTACAATCACTTTGAGTACTATTTAGTAATGTGTCTTAAAATTTACACAAGCTAGAAAACAACAATTATATTTTTGTATATCTACATAGAGAAGTGTCACACACAGATACACATATGTCAGTTAGTAAAAATTCATTTAGCTCTTCACTTACAATAAATGTACTTTTCTGTATGCATTCTATACTTCAATAACTATTTTTTAAAAAGAAAAGAATGAATAGTATGACTAACATTCATGTAATTATCATCCAGAATTGACAAATATGAACATTTTGCCACATTTATTTTAAGATTTTTTTGTGAAAGAAATAAAACACTATTAGCTTTTAAAAATGCAAAGAAATTATAAACTTTAGTAGGTTTATTAGTGGTGATAATATTGGTACAACAATTCTAAAACCACTTTATAGGATTGTGCAAAAAAGTAAATACATTGAAGTTTTTGGGGGTCCATCCAGAGTTGTAATGGTAGGAAATATGAAGTGAGGGAAGAAGCAGCCGCCTGGGATGTTGGATTGGAATTAAAGGTATCAGTGCAAACTGAAGATTTTTTTTTTTTTTTTTTTTTTTTTTTTTGAGACAGGGTATTGCTCTGTTGCCCAGCCTGGAGTGCAGTGGTGTGCTAATAGTTCACTGCAGTCTCAACCTCCTGGGCTCAAGCCATCCTCCCACATCAGCCTCCCAAGTAGCTGGGACTACAGGTGCATGCCATTATGCCTGGCTAATTTTTTTAATTATTTGTAGAGACAAAGTCTCACTATATTGTCCAGGCAGGTCTCAAACTCGTAGGATCAAGCAATCCTCCCTTACTGTGCTGGGATTACAGGTGTGAGCCAGTACACCTGGCCAAACTCATGCTTTTAAAGACATATGTCTTAGCTTTATCCTCAGAGAAAGCCTAGAAGCAATGATACCCCTGTGGCAAAGAACACACCTGATACCTAAATTGTGGTTTCTCAACACCATTCCCCACTAAAACAAACAAACAAACAAAAATAGGGCCTTGAAGAAATGGCTGATTCCAGGGGTCTGGAGAAACAAAAACATAAAGTGAGCTTGAAACATCTTACTGTAACAGAAAGTAAGATAAGGTCAAAAAGCTGATGGAGATGTAGCAAGAGAATACAGAAGCCATTGCAGAGAGTTTTGCTGGCCAAATTAGGGACAATATAAACATCAAAATGATCAATTACAGAAATGGATTTTAGATATTGATTTGAAAACGACTCCATGAATCTGTACTGTCACTAAAAAAGTAAAAAAATAAAAAGTGGGAAAGGAGGAGAGAAAGTCTGATTTACAGAAGAATGGCAACTAATAAATTTAGAAGGAGTAATAGGGAGTAATACCAAATAACCATTTTGCAAATGCTATAGTAATCATAAATTCTGAAAAGAATCATTAATGGATGCTAAAATTATTGGTTGAAATTCTGAGGAATATTTACACAGTCTAAAAGTATCATCACTCCACAGATTACTTATTAATTACAAGCAGGACCTTTACAATGGAGAAAGGTCCATAACTGAGTGATTAAACTTACCATGGGTGACCATGGTCAATAATAATAACTGAATTGTACATTTTAAAATAACTAAAAGAGTGTAATTGGATTATTTGTAACACAAACGATAAATGCTTGAAGGGATGGATACCCCATGTGCCTCCATGATCACATTGCACACTTGTATCAAACTATCTCATGTACCCCACAAACATATACACCTACTATGTACCCACAGAGATTTTAAAAAAAAAACTTACCATGGGACAAATTGGCACCATAAGCTGCCTGATGTGATGCACTGAGAAGGACACGCTACCTAGGTAAGATTTTTGCCAAAAAATGTCAAACTTGTGTAATCCAGATCCAAATAGGGGACATTCTGGAGAAGAAAAAAAAACAAAAACAAACACAACTGACGAGGACTCTTCAAAGATGTCAATGTTGGCCAGGCATGGTGGCTCACACCTGCAATCCCAGCATAAGGTGGGTGGATCACCTGAGGTCAAGAGTTCGAGACCAGCCTTGCTAACATAGCGAACATAGAGACCCCGTCTCTACTAAAAATACCAAAAATTAGCCAGGCATGGTTGTGCATGCCTGTAATCCCAGCTACCTGGGAGGCTGAGGCAGGAGAATTGCTTCAACCTGGGAGGTGAAGAGGTTGCAGTGAGCTGAGATTTCGCCACTGCACTCCAGCATGGGTGACAGAGCAAGACTGTCTCAAAAAAAAAAAAAAAAAAGGTCAATGTCATGAAAGTTAAAAGATAAGAAGAAAAAAGGAAAGGATAGACTGTCCTAGAATAAAGGAGACTAAATACCCATGGCAACTAAATGCAATGCACAATCTTTACAAGATACCAGATTGGGGATAAAACAACAGCCATGAAAGACATTATTAAGATAAGTGAGGGAATTTTGAATATGGACTCGATGTTAGATTAACAGTAGTATGTTAATGTAAAACTTCCTGAGTGTGATAACTGTATTATGGGTATGTAGAGAAACGCCCTTGTTCTTAGGGGATACTCACTGAAGTATTGAGGGCTGCAGTATCAGGATGTCCGCAGGTAACTTTGAAATGACTCAGCAAAGCTAAAGAGAGAAAGCAAATGTAGCAAAATATTAACAGTGATGAATCTAGATGAAGGATATGTGGGTAATCGTATTATTCTTGCTTTTATGTGTGTTGGTGTGTTGAGAGAGGGTCTTTTTCTGTCGCCCAGGAAGGAGTGCAGTAGTGTGATCACAGTTCACTGTAACATCTAATTCCTGGACTCAAGTGATTCTTGAGTAGCTGGGACTACATGTGTGTGCCACCATACCCAGCTAATTTTTTTATTTTTAGTTTTTTTAATAGTGATGGGGTCTAGCTATGTTGCCCAGGCTAGTCTCGATCTCCCGGCCTCAAGAAATCTTCCTGCCTGGGCCTGCCAAAGTGCTGGGGATTACAGGCATGAGCCACCATGCCAGCCTCCTGCTTGTTTTTTGTTTTTTCCTCCGAGACGGAGCCTTGCTTTGTCGCCCAGGCTGGAGTGCAATGGCACAATCTCAGCTCACTGCAACCTCTGCCTCCTGGGTTCAAGCAATTCTCCTGCCTCAACCTCCCGAGTAGTTGGGATTACAGGCATGCACCACCACACCTGGCTAATTTTTTTGTATTTTTAGTAGAGACGGGGTTTCACCATGTTGGCCAGGCTGGTCTTGAACTCCTGGCCTCGTGATCTGCCCACTTCGGCCTCCCAAAGTGCTGGGATTACAGGTGTGAGCCACCACGCCTGGCTCTGCTTGTTTTTATACATCTGAATTTTTCCGAAATAAAAAGTTGGGAAAATGAATGAGGTATATTTATACATACTTAAAAGAGCTGCAAATCCCAAGCTGAAAGGAAAAAGCAAGTTATAAAACAACACATAGAGTATGATACCATTTAGTTAAAAAATACACAGAGCATTACTGTAGATAAATAGATGCTGTATCTGTGCGGAAAACAGAAAACAGTCTAGGTGTTTTGAGCAGAGGATGACTAAAGCAATCAGGAAGGGAATGAACCAAAAATTAACATTTAATACCTTTTACGATTTAAACCACATGATTAGTTTATAAGTTATTCTTATTTTCTTCTCTGTATTGTTCTGTATTTTCTGAATTTCTAAAATGCGCAAGCAGTACTTTTATAATTAGGAAAAAGTTACTTTTTAAAGTCCATCTGTAGTTTTTAACAAATTCAAAGCTGCATCTGATTCTGTTATGTAATCACAGTCTAATCTTACTGTATGTTTATTGTATGACTTTGCTGCCCTCTAGTAACACTAAACAATACAGAAAAAAAGAAACATCAATTATTCTACCTTTTATACCTAGAGGGCATGTTTATAACTGTTGTCTTCCGTAATATATCTGCTTCAAATTTTTTTCCAAAAGGGACAATAATGTATGAATGATACTGACCCAACAGGTACTAAGTGGGTTCTTTCAGAAAGGGTGCATAGATTGCTATTTTTGCTGTTTCATTGGTTACACTATTCTCAGATGTATAATATAAAGTGTCCATTGTGAATGTAATACAAATATCTTGTTCTACTATGGTTATGGTTCTGAATAATACTCTTTCACATAGTAACACTAGAAGATAAAAAATGCTGAACTGGATAAAATGATTTCAAATGCTCATTTTACATGAAATATTTGAAGAAAAGTTTACTACAGAAGACACCCTGAAACCTTTCATTGTAATCATCTTGCAGGAAAATGTTCTGCCTCAGCCCCCGAAGTCCTTACACATTTTCTAATGATAAAGATACTTAAACGGCCATTGGCACTGTTAGGGCTCACAATACCACAAAGCATGCCACCTTAGCATGCTGAGTACTTTGAACTACAGGAGACTGGAAAACCACAGAAGGACCTCAGAACCAGGGTCTCCCTGACCTTCTCCTGCCCTCCTGTCTCTGGCCCCTCTTTCTTTCCCAAAGCACAGGGAGAGGCTCTCTGAACTTCTCATAACTGCCTAAAGATAGATCCTCCAAAAAGAAACTCAATTGTCATGAGTCTCCTCCCCAGGAATCTCATCAATCAAGGAAGATTGACTGCATCCCAAGAGAAGAGATTGAAGGTCAACACCATGCCCAGACAGACTTGGCACAGGCTCTATCACCTATTCATCTTTCCCCCAAACTATTTTCTCAACCTTGAGTTACCTTATCCTTCCCTCTCTCTCCTCTTTGACGAAGGTATATAAGCTTCTAAATTTCATTCCATTATTGGGTACTCACTTTTTCCTATGATGCCCCTGTGCATATAATAAATTTGTGTGCCTTTTTTTCTTCTTACTCTGTCTACTGTCTATTTACTTCAGTCCTTCAGAGGGTAAAGAGAATGGCTCATGCCTGCAATCCCAACACTTTGGGAGGCCAAGGTGGGCAGATTACTTGAGGTCAGGAGTTCAAGACCAGCCTGGCCAACACAGGAGCTTGTGGGGTGTGTGGATCATCTCTACTAAAAATACAAAATTTAACTGGGCATAGTGGTGCATGGTTATAATCCCAGCTACTTGGGAGGCTGAAGGGGGAGGATTGCTTGAACCTGGGAGGTGGAGGTTGCAGTGAGCTGAGATCACACCACTGTACTCCAGCCTGGGGGTAGAGCGAGACTCTGTCTCATTGCTTGAACCTGGGAGGTGGAGGTTGCAGTAAGCTGAGATCGTGCCACTGCACTCCAGACTGGGTGACAGAGTGACATTCCATCTCAAAAAACAAAAACAAAACAAAACAACAACAAAATAAGTTTTAAAAAATAAGAAAGCTTATAAAGTAAAAGTTATAGTAAGCTATTTATTATTGAAGAAAGAAATATGTTTAAATATTTAGTGTAGCCTAAGTGTAGAGTTGTTTATAAAATCTACAGCAGTGTACAGTAATATCCTGGGCTTTCGTATTCACTCACCACTCACTCACTGACTCACCCAGGGCAACCTCCAGTCCTGTAAGCTCCATTCCTGGTAAATGTCCTATACTATTTTTAAAGCTTTTATGCCATATTTTTACTATATCTTTTCTATGTTTAGGTGCAGATACTTACCATTGTGTTACAATTGCTACAGTATTCAGTACAGTAACATGCTGTATAGGTTTGCAGCCTGGGAACAATAAGCTATGCCATACAGCCTAGGTATGCAGTAGGCTATACCACTAGGTTTGTGTAAGTATGTGATGAAATTGCCTAATGGCATATTTCTCAGAATGTATCCCTGTCAAGTGACACATGATTGTATCGTGACTTACTTTAAAATGGCAGGTGCTCTTCCCTCTGTTCATATCCAATCACCATTTTTACACTGGGAGAAATTTTTGAAATTTCAGGCCAACATAATAACATATTCTGCTTCTGGACCTTATTTTTGCTACCTCTACCCTAATCATTTTACTGCAAATCTTTCTCTTGGCTCAGGTGTCTGGAGGCTGACCAGGCACAATTTGAATCTTCCATAATTAGAAAAGGGAGTTCAATTTCACTAGTGAAACAGTCTGTCGGAATCAGAACTGACATCAATGCTGAACAGCCAGAATGTAAGAACTGAGAGTAATATGAGTAGAATGGAAACCAGATGTTATTAACCTCTCCTATTAACTAGAAGAAAATGTTAATGTTATAGAGGATGCACTTAGCTCCGAAACTGAGTCCTAGTTGTGCACACTTCAAATCTAATTTAAAAATGTAAAAATTAGGCCAGGTGTGGTCGCTTATGCCTTAATCCCAGCACTTCAGAAGGCCAAAGCAGGCGGATCACGAGGTCAGAAGTTTGAGACCAGCCTGGCCAACACGGCAAAACCCCATCTCTACTAAAAATACAAAAATTAGCCGGGTGTGGTGCCGGGTGCCCGTAATCCCAGCTACTGGGGAGGCTGAGGCAGGAGAATCGCTTGAACCCAGGAGGCAGAGGTTGCAGTGAGCTGAGATCGTGCCATTGCATTCCAGCCTGGGTGAGAGGAGCAAGACTCTGTCTCAGAAAAACAAAACAAAACAAAAATACAAAAATTATCCGGGCATGGTCACATAAGCCTGTAATCCTAGCTACTAGAGAGGCTGAGACATGAGAATTGCTTGAACATGGGAGGCAGACGTTGCAGTGAGCCGAGATCGTCACCGCACTCCAGTCTGGGCTATAGAGCAAGACTCCGTCTCAAACAAACAAACAATAAACAAAATAAAAAGAAATGCTTGGAGTGCTCGGGATCTTCCGCTTCAACCTGGACTTTAAATGTTACTGAAATTTCGACAGGATGGTGTGGGCAAACAGCCTCCTAATGTTTGCTGATATAAGTACAAACTGCATAACTGCTATAAAAATAAATTTAGAATGAGCAAAATCATAAATGCACATATTGAGATCAAGCAATTCCAATTCTATTTCATCCTCCAGATGTGACAACTTTTCAAAGCTTTTCATTACAGCACTGATTAAGACTAGAAATAATCTAAATATCAGTGTTTATGGAACTGGCTAAATAAATTATGGTATATCCCAACAATGAATCACTATGCAGCTGCGAAAAAACAACGACAAAAAAAGAGGGCCGTGCGCAGTGGCTCACACTTGTAATCCCAGCACTTTGGGAGGCCGAGGCTGGCGTATCACGAGGTCAAGAGATTGAGACCATCCTGGCCAACATGGTGAAACAGTCTCCACTACAAATACAAAAATAAATTAGCCGGGCGTGGTGGCGCATGCCTGTAATCCCAGCTACTGGGGAGGCTGAGGTAGGAGAATCACTTGAACCCGGGAGGCGGAGGTTGCAGTGAGCCCAGATCGTGCTACCGCACTCTAGCCTGGGCTACAAGAGCGAAACTTCGTCTCAAAAAACAAACAAAACCAAACCTTCATATACGGATATGGGCAGATTTCCAATTTATGGTAGGCTAAAAATGCACTGTTTACACACCATCTGTGTAAAAAGGGGAACACATTAAAATATGCGTATTTATTTGTTTTTATGTTTGTAGAACATCTTTAGAGGATCATAAGAAACTGTTAACATTGCCACTGAGGAAGTGAACAGTCTTCCAGACATGGGTGGATTTTTTTCACTCTACCGAATACCCTTTTAATTTTGAAACATCAAAATGAATTTGCACACACAAGGGCACGCCAGAGGGAAAAACTTCAAGTTCGGTGAGGAGACAGGGAAAGCCTGTGAGTTCAACCTCAAGAGCAATCACCCTGTGAAGGTGTGGCCATTGAGGGTTTTGTCACCCACGTCTGAGAACTGTCACAACCTTCCCCACCCCCAGCTCGGTTTTCCTTCCATTTGTTTCTGAAACTCACTAAGCTTCGGAAAGTATTTACTCAAAGAATTGCTAGCAAACTTGGCATTCTTACGAAAACACTTTTGCTTTCTTTGTTACTGAGAGACTGGGGAGCAGGGGACATCAAGCCAGGTAACATTGTATCATAAACGAAATTCAGTATCTTTGAAGTAACATTGTATCATAACTGAAATTCAACGTCTTTGAAGTAACATTGTATCATAAAAGAAACTCAAATGTCTTTGAATTAACATTGTATCATAAAAGAAATTCAATGAATTAACATTGTATCATAAATAAAATTCAATGTCTCTGTAAGAGTTCTGTAGCTATAAAGCTGTAGAAATACAAAGTATTACTCAAGAGTAGTGATTACCAGTAGTCACACCTCCGGTCAAAGTTTGGAGAGGACTATTTCACCTCCTAGACCACACTTTCCTTCCCCAAAGCCGCTTCTCTCTCTGATCCCTCCCCTCCTCCGCTTGGCCGGAGGATTCCTCACCCAACCGCTCCGCGTAAGTGCGAAGACGCACTGCAGCAGCGCAGTCTGAGGGACAACAGAGCCTACTCTTTTTTCTCATCTCTATGATCCTCTTTGTGACCTGTCAAACAACACCGGAGTTCCATGCTAATAGTCCTCCAATCCGACAGAGGGAGATGCAAAGAGCCGACGCTCTCGCGAGAGGTGTGCGGCTCGCTCGCTCTCTCTCGCTCCCTCTCTTTTTTTCTCCAAGTATTGAGAGCGCGTGGGAGCACAAGCGCATGCGCGCTCGTGGGGTGCGCGGTAGCAACAGAGAGGACTCGACCCGGCTGGAGCTGGGGAGAACGCGCGTGCGCCGTCACGAGCTCGGCGCTGCCGGGACCGCGGTGTGGAAGCGGGTGTTCGACCGCCGTGCGGGCCGCGGAGATGTTCCGAAAGGCCCGGCGGGTGAACGTGCGCAAGCGGAACGACTCCGAAGAGGAAGAGCGGGAACGCGATGAGGAGCAGGAGCCGCCGCCGTTGTTGCCGCCGCCGGGCACGGGCGAAGAGGCGGGCCCCGGCGGCGGCGACAGGGCCCCTGGGGGGGAGTCGCTGCTGGGCCCGGGGCCGCCGCCGCCTTCCGCGCTGACCCCAGGCCTCGGAGCTGAGGCCGGGGGTTGCTTCCCCAGCGGCGCGGAGCCGGGCAACGGGCTGAAGACGCGCAAGAGGCCTCGGGAGAACAAAGAGATGCCCCGGGCCAGCCTGCTCAGCTTCCAGGACGAGGAGGAAGGTAAAGTCCGCGCTTCGGGCGCCCTTAGACGGCCGCATCCCCGACCCAGGCCCCAGTACCCGGCCCCCGTATTCTCTGGACACCCAGCCCCCTAGCCCTGGAACGGAGTCCCCTGCCGCCCGACCGGCTGCGAATCTTCCCCAGCCTCCGGCCTTCTGCTCGGGCAAGGGACACGTTCCCGCGCTGCCACCAGCCTTTTCTTAACCACCTCCTCTGCATCGTCTTCCTGTGCATTTCCTACTCCACGGGGCGGGAGCTCAGATTGGGCATTCTGAATGTTTCAGGGGAAATTCGGTGTTCTCTGTCCTGCCTCTTTTCTGCCTGGCGTGTTTCAGAGCCAACTTGGTGTGGGTCCCCTGGCTGCTCTTGGTATGCTTTCCGAGCCCACTGCAGGTCACTGCGCCCACACTTCTTGGATCCTCTGTCCAGGCGTCCTCGACCATGAAGGCTGGGTTTGTAATACTAGGAGAGGGAACAGAAGCCTGGAGTTGCAGCTCTGCTTCTGAGTGACCTTGGGCCAGTCCCTTGCAGTCGCTGAGCCTCAGTTTACCCATAAAAGTAATTACGGGTAGCTAATACCCAGCCTTCTTCGCACTGACTTTGGGAACAGTGAAGCGAGACGGTGTAATAGTAAAAGCAAGGCAGTTTCTCCAATTCCTTGTGGGAGACCAGGCTGCAGTGGATTTAGATTGCTGATTTTAAATGAGCCTTAAATCTTTTCTTCTGACCGTTTGAATGTGCATAACCCAATTAATTCTGTGTTACGAAAAAAGAAATTAAGTTTTGGAACTCTTGCTTGCATTTTTATTCTAGAGGCTTTCAGGTTTCCAGTAAGGTAGGCAGTTTATCTTTGGCATTTCTGTTACTTTTTATTTGGTTTGTGAGGAGTACAGACAGATTTTTGTTTTTGAGATACATGAGCTATTTTTAAGAAGTATTTAGTACTTTTAAAATTTCAAATCAAAGAAAAGTGATTTGCTCTTACCTTAGCCTTAAAACAACTATGTCAGCTTATGGTGGATGTAGTTACTCAGAATTGACAGCACCTTTTTATTTTAGATACTTTGTTTCAAATTCGTTAATAACTTGATGATGTGGTTTTTCAGAAACATTTTGAATGATTTTTTTCCCCTCCTTAAATAGATGATTTAAGGAAGACAATAGGAAAATTTTGTGAAGTTACATGTGCTAGTCCTTTAAAAAGTCTCAAAATCTCATTACTTCACAGTAATTTAGGAAGTTGACCTCTGTTTTTGGAGTCTGTGACAAACTTGAAATAATTATACAATGACTTTGGCATATGAGTATGTATACTTGGGAGAATTTGTCTGAACAGCACGTAAGATCATGTGAAAGAAGGGAAAATATTTTCAGAAAATAGTTTCTACAGACTTCATTTAATTTCCTTTTTAAGAAAATGAAGAAGTTTTCAAAGTGAAGAAATCAAGTTATAGCAAAAAGATAGTAAAATTGCTCAAGAAGGAATATAAAGAAGATCTTGAAAAATCGAAGATTAAGACAGAACTCAACTCATCAGCTGAAAGTAAGTACCAAACTAACTGAATTCTTTTGAAATGACAAAATGAAAGCTCTTTCTCACAGTAATTTGCTATATATCTTCTGAACTCATTCAGTGGACCCCGTGGTTGTCAAGGGCCCTCATTGAGTAGCAATACAATTCTGTTATTTTATTGTAACACAACTGCTTTGTAAATGTATTTTTTAAAAAGACAGAATTGTTGCCACTGGAACATTTCTGCTGCAATGACTAGATTCTCTCACAGTTTTCCTTCTTGTGTGCAGACTGCTGTTGAACAGAGAAAGGTTTCTCATTTCAGCCTAAGACACAGGTTTATTCCTGTTCGAAGGAGTGTTGTGCAAATTCCTGTACTTGTGTTTTGTAGAGACAGATTTGCAATTTCCTTGGTGGTACTTCCACAGTGGATTTTATTCTTAGAGAACTTTTAGGAATGCCCTAAGTTTAATATTGGTATTACTTCCATTCAGCAGCCTTATCTGATACTAGATGAAGACTCCTTAGAATAATGAGGCAGTTGTATTGTACAGACATCTCTTACGTCTCTCAAAACCTCAGTTTAAAAAACTTTAAGCAGTTATTTTGTCTTTAGGGAAGTGGATCCAGTATAATATTCCATGATCTGAGTTATTCTCATGCAAATGCTGTTTTGTTTTATGGAATTAATGAGAGAATCATGACTTCCCAGATTCTCACAGGCTTAATGTGAAAAAGTATGGCATTGTATCTCAAATTTACAATCTGGTTGTGAAGACAGTATCTCATAACCGTGTAAGAGAACTCAGTGTTTGCCAAAATGTTCAATTAGTGTTCTAAAGGATAGCTACGCTTTCAGAGGAGAGAGGACTGCTTTATGGAAAAAGTGGGACTTGAAGATGGATCTTTGATAATTAAAATTCCGAAAGGGAAGGATTGGGGTTATGATCAAGGATTAAAATGACTAAAGCCGTTTTGGAAAAGAACAAGTACACCTGACAGGTCTGAGTGGATGATTTGTGAAGGAAGTAGTTAGAGGTTTCATGTGAAAGACACGTTGACAGATTGTGAAGGATGTTCAGTATCCAGTAAGGGTTTACATTTGCTACAGTGGCTTGCCAAGATGATGACATGATAAATGCCTTTTGAAACTTTAGCCTGGTATTAATATGCAGCATGAGGAGAGATTGGAGGTCGAAAGCAGTTTAAACTCAAGGGCCAGCTTTGATCCATTAATAGTGGGTTTAAAAAGGTCTCACAGTTGAGCAAGAGTAAAGGCTTCTACTGACTTAGTAGGAAATTCTGGGTGAGTTAAAAATGTTTTCTGTTGTTGTAGGGGGAGAAGTGGAAAGAAAGAATGATTTGAGAACCATTCCAAGGGAAGAATTGATAGGCTTGATGTACACTTTGCCATGTTGGATTTAAAAGAACAGTCAAATTTGAGCTTTTGACCTGGAGTGTCATAATTCATTTTTCTGCTCCTGTAACAGAATACTACAGACTGGGTAATTTATAAACAATAGAAGTTTATTTGGTTTACAGTTCTGGAGGCTGGGAGGGCCAAGAGAATGGCACAGGCATCTGCTAAGGGCCTTTATGTTGTGTCATAACATGGTAGAAGGGCAGGTGAGCCTCCAAGACAGAGAGGGAGTATCCTGCCAAACTCACCCTTTTATCAGGAGCCAGCTCCTGGGATAACAGCATTAATCTCCTCAGGTTGTAACTGCCATTTAAAGGCCCCACCTGTTGATAGTGTTACAGTGTAATTAATTTCAACATGAGCTTTGGAGGGGACACTCAAACCATAGGGTGACTTGGTTATGAATAATTACATATAGGAATAGCGAAGCCAAGTGGAAGGAGGAATGTTTTTAGGAGAACTGGTTATTTTGGAGTCTAGGAGACTGCCTTATTTTCCCCAGAATTCTTGAGACCAGTTATTTATAAGGAGATAGTAGAAGAAAGGTCAGGATGAGTGACAACTGAGAAAGGCCTGTTGTCATGGTTGCTGTATTAAGTCTCTTTTCACGCTGCTGATAAAGACATACCCAAGACTGGGAAAGAGGTTTAATTGGACTTACAGTTCCACGTGACTGGGGAGGCCTCAGAATCATGGCAGGAGGTGAAAGGCACATCTTACAAGGCGGCAGCAAGAGCAAATGAGGAGGAAGCAAAAGCGGAAACCCCTAATAAACTCATCAGTTCTCGTGAGACTTATTCACTGTCATGAGAATGGCATGGGAAAGACCAGCCCCCGTGATTTAGTTACCTCCCCGTGGGTCCCTTCCACAACACGTAGGAATTCTGGGAGGTACAATTCAAGTTGAGATTTGAATGGGGACACAGCCAAACCATATTAGTTGTCATTTATTGTTGGGTTTAGAAATGGAAACAAGTGTGAAGTTTAGGAAGCCATCTCTGACCTCTTCCTTCTACCCTCACCTAATTCTGATACTCCACTCACCAGATAACTCCAATTAATGTCCTCCCTGAAGGCAGAGTCTGATTGTATTTTAGATTGTCGTCGTTAACACTGAAATGAAGGTCTGTCATTGACAATCAGAACTCTTCCTACCTTCAACCCTCTTTAGTAGGCAGAGACAATTAACTTCAAAATAACCACGGTATTGACTTGAGAACCCCGTTTTTCTGATATTCTTAAAATAATGAGTTCAATTTTTAACTTGAAGTTGAGTGGAAGTAGCCAGTGAATAGAGATATAGATTTGTGGGTAGTGCTTATTGCGGTGATAATTAAAGGTGGATGGAATTGATGAGGGAGCCTTACATAAAGGAAAAATTCCTGAAGACCAAAGACTTCTACTCTAGTA